ACCAAACGTGTAATTAAGCCTAAAATAAAAAGTAATCATTTGTCAAGATCTATAACTTCCTCCTTCCCTTTGCTTTTAATTTAAATGTTTGTGAGAAAGATTATTTTTATTTTTTTTAGCCGTTTCATAATAAGAAAAAAAAACTGCTCGTGAAAAAAATTATAAAATATATAAATAACTTCTTTTTATGAAAAATAAGTTATTTTAATGAAGCTGAAAATTTGAAATTTATAATTATCTTTAAAATATTATTTTTCTTTTAAATTAATTTATTACATAGAGATTTATTTTTTTAATCTAAAAATTAAACATCTTAAAATCGCTTATCACATAATTTATCCAAACAAAATTTCATTTTTGATTAATTAAAATTGATTATTCAGATAAATATTATTGAAATAATATAATTTTGAGATTTTTTTTTAAATACACTTGACCCTCTCTTTCCTTCCACTCTGTTCTCTCACTAGACCCAATCATCATGTCTCTTCCCTTCATTGGCAATTTTCGTGTTGGAGGGAGCTATATATGTGAGAAGTTAGTGGAGCACACAGTGAAGGTGACAAAGGAGAAGGGGGAGAGGTGGCGAATAGAGGAGGAACCAGCAAAAAGAATAGAAGATCAAATCAAAAGCTAAAAAGTCAAGTGAAATGCATATGCAATTTTTAATTCACTTGTCATTGATGGGAGAAGTGAGATATATAGAAGGGGTGAGACATGTGACCAAGTTGCACTATGTTTCAAACATTTAGTGGACTTGACATGGAGCATTTTATATAAAATTAGAATATTTTGCATCTGTTTCAATGTCTATCCACTCCTTTTGCGTTTTATGTTGTCGTCAACGGAGGAGTATTTCAACATTGTTGATTTTCTCAATTTCATCTAACCAATCGGTTCACGAAGAGCGTAAAAGTAAGGAGAATAGTTTGACCTTCCATGAGTGTGTTCTTAGTCTACATTGAAAGTTGAAACTAAAGGTTAGGAAATTTAATATTTTTAAGGTTTTTGTTGATGATTTTTTTAAAGAATTAATAAATTAAAATTATAAAAGATTGTTTTAAATTTTTTAATAAGAATACATTTCTAACGATTTTTCATTAAGAATATTTATTAGCATTTTCTTATTTTTAACATTTTTTATAGAAAATAATTAAGAAATTAATAAACATAAAATTTTATTAAAAATCACCGTAAAAATATATTAAAAATACTAGAGTTTATTTTATAAACAATGAACTAATGAAAAAAATCATATACAATGACAACAAATTTTTTATGCATAAATATTTAATAAGAATGCACCATACTACTATGTTACATATTAATGAATTATATGATGTGGTGATAGGGTAAATTTTTTTAATCAGATGTTGTGTTAAAAAAGGCTCAGTACTAAAAGTTTATAAAAATTAAATTCATAATATTAAATGATGTACATTTTTAGTTTTTAAATTTTTTTTAGTTTATATAGTTTAATATAGATTTTTTTAGTTTTTATACTTAAAAGTTTTTTAAACCTTTTAGTTTTTATTGTTATTTTTTTTTGTAACATTGTCTATTTTATATTCACATGATGAATGTCTTCAATTTTATAAGGATGAAAAAAGAACAATAGGTATAACAGGTGAGGAAACAAATGAGACACAAAACAAGAGACCTAATTTAGAGTATTTTCAATAAAATAAATTTGATAGAAGACATATAAAATTGAATTAATACCTTTATCACATCAATACAAAAGACACAACATTATAAAAAAAATGATAAAAATTAAAAGGATTAAAAAGTTGCAAGTATAAGAATTAAAAAGATTTATCTTAAATTATAGGACTAAAATATAAAGTAAATATAATCATGAGAACTAAGAAAAATATTTTAACCAAACAATTTTCATTTGCACAATGTATCTTTAAGGTGTTCCACTTCACACACACACACACACACACATATATATATATATATATATA